ACCAATAAAATGGGCCAAGGCAGTTCCTTTATTAGCCAATGACCTTCCTCCATCAAGCCCTTTACCTCATTCTGTCTTCTAGACCATTTTCATTCCCATGGGGACCCAGCAAGGGTATACTGAGGCCAGAGCAGCATGAGTGAGACTGGGATTATGTCCACCCGCATATTCTTACCTTCTCTCTTCCACCTGAGAAAGCCTGCTGGCTGAGACTTTAAAAAAATAACCTCAACAAAAGCATGGAGCAATGACGCAGCTCAGACATCAAATCATGTATCCTTGGGGAGCTGGTTCTTAGCTACTCCCCAAACCTGCAGGGAAGAGTCAGACCCCGAGTGCCCAATCAGAAACCCATATGTAGCTGAGGATAGCTAGGAATGTGCCCAGCACCAAGTGATGAATGTACCTAAGACATCAGATTCTTTTTGAAGTGTGTGTGTGTTTGTATGTGTGTGTAATTCAAGTGTGAGCTTTGTAGTCATGACCTTTGGGCTGCACTGCAAAAAGATTGATCATGGCTGAGTAGACTAGCGTTGAGCAAAATGGCTCACTCTGGAAAAATGAGGTTTATTCCTCCCTCTCAATACAGACAAACTGAATTCCAAGTGGGTTAAAGACCTGTGTATGACAGACAGGGAAAGACATGAACCACATAGAATTTATGTAGTCCTTATGGCTGTGGAGTTTGGAGCAATTTCCTACCTGAGACCCAAACAATAGAAACCTTTAAAGGAAAAATTACTGGCTACACACACTCAAAATTAGAGATTTCAGTTCGGAAGAGTTAACCTACCTGACAGGTGGTGTTGGAAAAGATGTTTGCAGGGCCTGAAATCAATAAGGACAGGAGGTTTCCAGGGACTCCCGCAGAGGAAGGTGGGCGCTTCCCCAGGCAAACATGGACAAAGGGGCACAAAGGGGTCAGGCAGTTTAGAGCAGCAGAGACCCAACTGCTGATAAGCATATGAAGAGACTCTCATTCCACTGGTAATCAGAGAAATGCACATTTAAGTTACAATTTGACCCACTTCAAAATCATCGGATTGATACAAATGGGAAACTGTATTATGTATCAAGTGCCGAAGAGAATGTGGAGAAATGAGAGCTCGGCTCCGGGGAGTGTGGGATACTCTGCACTTCAGCACCCGCTCCCGGTGGACCCCAGAGACAGGCTTACACAACTCGGTGCGGAGGGTGCCTAGCTCTAGGAGGGGTTCCTGTGCAATGACCTGTGTCCCCGCAGGCAGAGGTGTCTTGGCCAGGATCCAGGCAAAGCCACCATGGGGAGGTAGAGTCATCGGCTGCCATAATCACATTGAACATGACAGGGAGCACGGAAAAGTAAGAAAGATAATGAGAACCATTGTCAATTAAACACGCACACACAAAGCAGTATCATCTATTATTCAAGGATAGTCATACATCTGAATAAATAGAAGTGAGGGGGGGCCAGAAAAAGGAAAATGGGGTTGGAGGTCAGACTGTAGATGAACACACAATAAAATCCCAGAAGGGCTCACGAGATATCAGGCATGTGGCATCAGAAAGTGGAATTAGTTCAGTTCTGTGAATCTCTGGTCCAAAAGAAAAGAAAAGAAGGTAAAATCAAATTGGAATTCAGGTGAGCAGAAGGCATCCTTATATGGTAATGATACTGAGGTATTCTGTTTAAGGGCTGCATAATAAATCATTGATGAGTTTCAATTCTTCATTATTTGTAATGGATTTCCAGCAACACACTTGCCAGCTGTCGGGGCCCCAGGGTGGAGCCATAGCCAGAACCCATGAGGCTCACTTCTTCGCCTACCTCAAACCTGCAGAAGTAAATATAGCCATAAAGATGGTAAAGACAGGGGTGGGCAGCCTCAATATTCAAAACACAATTAGGAGAATGACTTGGGAAAGGCCTGCAATTACTGTCCCTTAAAGACAGAGTCAGAATACCTCTTTATCCATATTTCATTGTCCCCATATAATATTTAAAGTCTCCCCCTAATATTTGTAGAATGAAAAGCAGAAATCGAGAAACGTTATTTCCCCAGTTCCCCAGCAGCCTGGGCTGCTCAGTGTCAGTCTCTGAATTCATAACACAAATGAACAGAAGACAAAAATCACTTGCAGTATTTTAAAGGAAGGATTTCAACACAGAGAGATGGTTAAAACGTGCCAAGCTGGGAAACCGGAGAGGAGGCTGTTCTTAACACCAACCAAGGACCTGGAAAGGGAAGTTTCTTGTGCTCCACCCTCCCTCTATCCCCCCTCTTCTCCCCACCCCACCCATTTACACCAAGCTCGCTTGTCAATTTCCTCAGAGAAATGCGAATGGATTTTTCTAACCTGCCCCAACTCCAAATTGATCAGTTAATTAAGCCGATCTCTAGGAGGTTGTTGAGGAACCAGCCCTTTTTTCCTTTTGTATTCCATGGTTCCAAACTCTTCAGAGACACACAGCTCAGGGAGAAGGGCACTCCTTGCTGAGATCTTAACCCGCACACAAATACAGTTCTTTTCCTCGTGAATAGGGATTTTGCTTCTACAGCATACTTACTGTGAATGCATTTTGCAGCTTCTTGCTTCCAGGTTAGGATTAAGTGACTTTGTGCTGCTCTTTATTTACTGTTTATTATTTTTAAAAATGCAGTTGTTGGGTTTAGCTCGGAATTGCTGTCCATTGCTGTCTTCCTTGGCTTGGAGGGTTCCGATGGAGCTGGTAGAGGGTGGGTCAGCGGCTGACAGGCAGTGTGTGTGTGGCTCGCTGCTGCAGCATCACGTTGTGAAGTCACTCCTTGTGTCTACACGTAGGTGAGCACAGTTAATACCCAGACCTGGGTGAGGAGAGAGTGAGGTCAACGCACTGGGCACCAGCCCCCTGTCTCCAACATTCTTCTGCCTACTTAAAGCACTTTACCTCATCTGTCTCCAGAATATCCCAGTGAGGACAAAAGGAAGGATGGCATTGCTAAAAGGAGCTAAGATTGCTGCGGAGTAATTCACTAATGTAACCATCACTTCCTCTTTGTCTGCCAGAGACTGAGATGGAGGGAGCTGAAATTGCAGCCCCGAGATCCCTAGAGAGTCTTCCGACCAAGGAAGGCTTGGGCGGCCTGCGATGTGGTCCTTTAAAGAAATGCCTAAATAACGGCTAAAACACACACTGAGACAATGGTGGTGCCCCCCACGTGACTAGCTGGGAAGTGAGAAACACACTTAGGAGAGTGATGGGCAGGGGTCCAAGCTAAAGGCAGAGACTGGCGCTTGCTCTCAGAAGCGGTCCCTTTGGGGTATAGCTGGCTCTTCTCTTGACTCAGCGCTCTGTTGATAAGTACAATTCAGTTTGGTTCACCCCCTTATATACACACACTACACATATTAAACTGATCTCATTTGGTTGAGTTCCTTACATTTTTACCAAGGCCTTTCTGGTTACTTCCTGAAGAATTGCTTCGATAATGACTTCTGATTGTAAAGAAGAGGGTCTGGTTTACAACGATCAACCTATATCTTATTTTAAAATGTTTTGAGGGGCACATAGCTCGGTGGTTCTGGGTCCTTTCTGTTATTATGCAAGGCTTGTCTCAGTGAAAGTCATGCCTCAGTCACCAGGACGTGACAGCTCTGAGTCCCCCTGGGGAGTCTAGAGTATTTTCAGCTCAATTTTCATGGCCTTTGTGCACCACGTTCTAGGTTCTGTGAAACTGTTTATCTTTGGGAGAGTCGTGCTGAGGTATTGGTAGCTGGTAAGACAAGAGGCAGGAAAAAAAATCTCCGGATGTGGAACTTTAGGCATGGAGGGAGTTTTACGGCATTCCACCAGGTAACCCACCTGGCAAAGGCAACACCATCTTGAAACAATTCTTGTTAAACTGGTACTCCAGGCTGGGACTGTATCTTGGTTGATGGAGAGTTTATCTGACATGAGCAAGGCCCTGGATTCAATCTCAAGTACTATAATAAGAGGTGCTGTTGCTTCTACGGCAGAGCGTCTTTCTTCGACATTTCAAAGCAGACGAGAATAAATATGTGGGATCCATTTGTCCCTCCCTTCTTTATTCAACAGCCACCCAGGTGTTCTTATGGCCTGATATGCAGGAGCTCACAGACATGCAAATGACCCAAGTGCAGGGTGGTGATATGGACCATCCTACAGGTAGATCCAGAGCACAGAGGTTAGGGCAGAAATATGGACTCATTCAAGGAATTTACAGACAATTCAAAATCCAAGACAGCATTTCTGAGTCCTCACTCATGGAAACCAGCAGAAACAATATTTCATGTCAATGAATATGTGGTAGTGGATAGGCTTTAAAGAGCATGGAATGATGACAGGATCAGGGACACCTCCACAGGATGCAGTGGGTCAAGACCAAGAGCAAAGGGTCCCATTGCCCTGTGTCCCAGCAACTACTTGTCTATCAGCATGGACACATTGTATCAGTCCTAAACATTTTAATGTCCTCATCTACAAAATGAAAATTAATATTATAATTAATAATAGACCCTACCAGAAAGAGGTGTTGGGGGACTAAGTGAAATGTTATATGTTAGCCTAAGGGATTGTCTGGCAAAGAAGCCAGCTCTCAGTAAGAGTTAATGGAGATTTAACAGTAATAATTTACTATTCGCAGAAGGCTCTTCCAGAAAGGCAAAACAGAAAGACCCTAGATCAGCCGCATGGCTTTCCTGGTTGTGGTCAGTTCACAACTAAATGCCTTGATTGTGCACCGCTCTCCCCCAGCTCAAGAAGAAACAGGAAATCACAGCGTCAGGCTTCATATTTGTCTCAAATGACTTAAACCACAAGGAAGGCAAACTATCAGGAAGGCTGCAGATAACGCAGGGCCATTGTTTGCTCCTGGGAGGCGCCATCATCGAGGAAGAGTCTCCTGTCATCACAGAGCTCTTTAAGGACCACAATGAGAGATGGGGAAGAAATTTGCGAGGCTTTTAAGGAAGCTATGATGGACTTAATGAGCTCAGGGTTTACAAAGACACGGCAGAAAACTGAGAAAAAGCACGGGACCGAGAGTGATCATCATAGGAAAAGTGTCTGGAAGATGAAAGTCTAAAATAAGCTGAGACATGTACAAAAAAGAAAAAGATAGGAGAACAGAAGGTCCTAGGCAAGATTAGGGAGGGAGAGGCCGACCTGTGCTTGAGTGGATGGTGAACGGGCAGCTTCTTCAGACGGCGAAGCCAGAGCCCCGGGATAACTTCCTTTGTCTGTTTTCCCCGAGAATCACAGGAGAACAGCATTTGGAGGAATAGAGGGCAGTGGTAAGTGACAATAGGACCAAGGAGTCTTTAAGGGGCATCATGGGTGAGCTCCCAGTTGGGTACAGGGTGCAGCAGTGAATGGATTATGTGCCCGGGCAACTTGCAAATGAGATTCTGCAGTCATTAGTGGTGGAAATTGAAAGGATCTCAAAGAATGGAAGATGAGATGAAACAGAAATGCTGGTGAGCGCATTTGCTTATTTTTAGAAATGGAGAGGCAGTTGAGCTCGGAGAATATAGAATTTGCTCTTAGAATCACAGGCAGGGAAGCTGGCGATCCGCCTGGGGGAGGCATTGGTCATGGAAGGGATAGCTGGCGAGCTCCCTGGACAACATGGCAGGCTGCCGGACGAGCCATCATGGGTGGGTCCCATTCTCTTCTTTTTCTTCCTTTCATGTTCTTAGGCATAGGGTCCCCAGAGGTCAACTGGACTGCGCATCTGGACTTCATGAGATCTCTCTACTGCTGTGGCTGAGGGTCTGTGGGAGGGAGGAACTGTTCTTAATGGGAAATGCCACGTGGGCACTCTCCAGCAGGACGGGCATTTCTAATGGTTTCTTGCTCTCTCTTCCTTCTCTAGCCTGAATATTTTTTTATGTATTGTTGTTTTTTATTCTAGTATTTATGACAAGACCACTGTGTGTCGGGACATCTGTTTAAACATCTTTCTCACACGCACAGTTAGATGAAGCCAGAGGCTGGCCTTTCAGCTTCAGGACACCTGTGTCCCAAGCTGCTGTTGTTGACTTACATCCATGGGCTGCAGACAGAGGGCAGAGGAGGGGAAAGACCCGTGCTGAGGTCAGCAGGACCCACCACGGTATTTCCAGGGTCATAGGAACAGGAAGCCATTTAACTGAGCAAACTGAAGATCCTGGAGAAAGGTTAACCACAGGACCCTAGGCGCACACAGTGTAGGAGGAAACAAGGGAGCTTGGGAGTTTGAGTAAACAAGAGTTAGGTGGCAGGAAGCTCAATCTGAGACGATCATATGACAGGCAAAAGCCAAATACAAGGAGACAACCTAGTTCCTTAGCTTTCAGTCAGTCTTAAGAGAATAGCTAGAGATTTGGAGTCATTAGCATAATTTGATGGATTAGCAAGAGGAGGCAGAATTCCTCACCCAGTTTTTTTGTCTGTCTTATTTTCAGAACCGAATTTAAGACTCAACCATGGTGGGAAAAAGTCACGAGATGAGCATGCTGGGAACTGCAATTTCCTGGAGGCCTTCTTTCACAAGCTTAGAGACTGTGTTCTCAGGGAAAGCAGCCAGGACCCAACACCATTGGGAAACAAAACAGCACCCTGCGTTCTTCTGGGAGCTGGGACTTCGGAGGCTGCTTGAGCACTCTTTGCTCCTCCTACACAGCAGAGACCCATCCCACACTGGGAGGAGCCTCTTCAGGACACTGCTGCCTTTCAAAGGTGAGCCTTGCCTACAGTAAGAACTGCATTTTGCATCTCAGCCCAGGCTGCACACAAACACACATGGGCTACTGAAACAACATTCCAGAAAAATCATTTATTGGGTTTAAGTGACTTGGATCTGGTCCATTCTGTTTTATTCTAGTCTAGTCTGTACAGTTCTTTTCTTTATCAAAGCTACTTAAAAATGCTTATCCAGATCATTCATCAGATGAATTTCTTGGCTTTGTGTGTGTGTATGTGTGTGTGTGCATGTGTGTGTTTTAAGACAGGGTTTCTCTGTGTAGCCTTGGCTGTCCTAGAACCCACTCTGTAGACCAGGTTGTCCCAGAACTCATAGAGATCCACATGTCTCTGCCTCCTAAGTGCTGGGATCAAAGGCGTGTACCACGATGCCTAGCTCACTTCCTGGCTAGCCTGGTCTACAAAGGGAGTCGCAGGACAGCCAGGGCTGTTACACAGAGAAACCATGTCTTTAAAAAAACCATAAACAAACAAATAAATAAAAGATGTTCCTTTAAAACACCTTCTCACCTGTTGGGAAAAGCCCTGCCTGTCCTACAACACCCATGATGCTCTTCCTAGACTCCTCTTGAGAAACCCAAGTCCTGCTTGCCTCTGGGTGTCTGTGCTCACGCCCACAAACTCCCACCCCGGCCTTGGAAACGTTAGCTATACTTCTCGGCACATGGATAATGACGTTCATCGAAAGCTCTGTCCCGGTCGATGCTGTGTGAGAACTCTTGCCCAGGCAGACTCTCCTTCAATTCAACAGTGGTTTTTAGTGTGAGTCTTAGTCCCATTCTCCCTTCTCAAGCAGAGCAAACTGAGGCCAAGGCCAAGGCAGGTCAGGAAAGAAACCCAGTGAACATGGTGTTGCTGCTTTGGACTTCTTTCCAGCTTCTATTCCAACCCCAGGGATAGTGATACTGGGTCTGTGGTCTTAATTACTGCTTACATCTTAACTGCTGTTACTGGTCGATGGATCCTTGAAGTTTGGGACCACTTAATATTATTAACGATATTTTAGATGTTTCTAGAACCCAATACAGCTACTATACTGTAAGAAGGCCTTCCAAAGGTTCCCTAGGGAGAGCTGATGACATAGTGATATTGCTCAGACGTTAGAGAGGGCTTAGGATTACTTATGTAACTCTGAGGTAGGGGTTGGCAACATTTTCCTGTAAGGAGAGAGTTAGTAAAGACTTTAGGTGTGCAGGCTGTAGAGGTTCTGTTACTATGAGACTCTGCCAGGGTAGTGCTACAGTTGCCAGTGGAGACAAAAGGCTGTAGCTGAGTCTCAATAAAACTTTATTTATAGACACAGAAATTTGAATCTCATGTAACGTCACCTCCTGAAGTTTTCACATCTTAAAAATGTAAAACTGTTTTAAATTGTGGAACCACTCTTAGCTTACTGCCTATAAAGCCAATGTTCTGTTCAGAATCAACCTGAGGTTGTCAGGTTGAACTGGTATAGACAGTAGCCTGGAGCTGGCAGGTGGAAATACATTGGACTCTCTAATGTTGAGGCAGGCTAGGGAGAGGAGCTCATCAATTTAGGGCAACTCTACACCCCAGAAGTTTCTCTGATAAGAGCTTTGCAGCCAGGGACTCAGGCATTGTCTGTGGGGATGCAGGCATGAGTTAGGACAGGCGGAGTCACACCAGGTGACTCAAAAAAGCCTTTCCTCTACTTCGTAAGGTTCCATGCGGTGGCTCCCCGGGCTTTAGAGCAAAACCACAAGAGCTGAACTGATTGGCGGGAAGGTCATTCAGAATTAGTAGAAACGTCTGAGTTATAAAACAGCTTATAAGAAATGATGCTTCATTGCATTCAAGGACATTCAGCAATCAAACGGACACTTAACAAAGCCTGTCAATAATCCATTTGAATTGCACTTCGCATTTTTCAAAGTGCTTTCCAGTACATTATTCCCATTGATCTGCCCAGGCACCCTAGGAGGCGGACAACCCCATTCTACAGGAGAGGTCACCTCGAACACCTTCACCGGGGCCACGGCTCAGAACAGCTGCGGACTCTGCCCTGCAGCCACGGCGACCTGCTACAAATGGCAACTTCATATGATGAATCTTGCTTATGGAGAATAAATATCCCCGACTCAAGCTTATTTTTAACCCCTGAGAATCTCCTAGAAACATGGCCACATACCCAGATAAGCACGAAGAACTCATTCCACTTGCACTAATGAAACACCGCGAGAATTCACCGGAAGTCCTCCCAGAGTCTGAATGTATCTTAGATGAGAGAGGTTTCGTTCAGGCTCAGATATGTTTTTCTTCTGCTAACTTCGTAATTGGGGAAGACAGAGCTGGGAGGTCTGATACCAGAGGAGGGAACCTCCAACTTCTGGGCTGCGCTTTCTTCCTTGCCTATCAGAGAAAGTGTGGCCTGGGGGACATGGCGCGCTGCCAGCCAGCCAGCCCTCGTGAACTGGGGGACTTGAGCCTATTCTTCCTACCTCCCAGCTTGGGGCTCTCATCAGCATTTCTATGCCAAATTGGGCTTTGGCACACCTAAGGATGCCTTGGCAAACTTTGTTAATTTCCCAAGAGCAGCTTCCTGGTTCTTAATTAGGCCTTTTATTCCTAGATGTCTATATTTAACTGAGCTCCGTTAGCACTGACCTCTTTTGGACCCTGCCAAGACCGTCGGGGAGGTGGCGGTGGCAGTTGAGTCTAGACAGGGCAATTATTCAGATAACTAAGCTCCCCCAACTCATTCTTACAGCGATACCCTGCGAGGAGAGTGCCAGCCACCGAGTGACGCCTTCCTGGGCTGTTAAATAACCACTCTGTGCTATCCTTCGCTGCGCCCAGAGCGGCAGAGTGTGAGCCAGATGCAAGATTTCACCGCTTAGCTCAGAGGGACAGAGTATACAGGGGGAAATGTAGACTGGAAAAAAAAAAGCTTCTGAGAAAGGATCTCAGCAGTGCAGGAAACTCCAAGGTGTCCATTCCCCTTGTCTGTAAATTTGAAAATAATCTAACTTCAGAGGCAGGAGAAACGGATCAATAGTTCCTGGAGCAGTCACACAATGGTCCTGGCCCAGTCACACAATGGGACCCGATTTAAGCTGGAAGAGCATGAATGAGTGAGAATCCCGTGTATCAAAACAGAGAGCTCTAAACACATTGTTGAGCCTCCGAAGCGAGCCACAGAAGGTGCTCGGGATACAAAAACATTTGCCAAACTATAAAATGGCTCGGTAATGATGCTGAATCTTATTTATGGGTAGCGTGTATGTGGTGTAAATATTTTTTAAATCAAATAATAAAAAACCGCTAGAGATGTCCATTTGTTTTCTTTTAAAAGAAAAGAGACAGAACAGCGATAAGACAAAAATTAAAACACAAACTTTTTTTTTTAAGAAAATCAAATGCATGACAACGTCACACACTGTCGCCACAGGAGGGAATGGAGACGAGTTTACTAAAAGCATACGTGGGGTTGGAAGCTCAGCTCCACAGTGTTGCCCATGGAAGCCCGAGAAGTTCTTTCTCCAAGACCTCCACTCAGGTAAAACTGGATCCTTGGCCACACCATGCGGGGGGATTTCACGGTGAGATACTACAAAGCCGAGGTGGAGCCTATGAAAATGGACAGAGAGGTGAGGACTGTGTCTGGTAATTTTCTGCCAGTGTGACCCAAGCTAGAACCATTTGGGAGGGGAACCTCAAGGAAGAAGATGCCCCTATAGGGAAATCTGATGGGGGCATTGTCTTGATTAATGATTGACATAGGAGGGCCCAGCCCACGGTGGGCAGTGCCACCTATGAGGAGGTGGTCCTGGTGGTACAGGAAAGTACGGTGGGCAAGCCATGGGGGGGGGCAAGCCAGTAAGCAGATCCTTCCACGGTCTTTGCTTCAGTTTCTGCCTCCAGTTTCTTGCCTTCCTTGAGCTCCTTCCTTGGCTTCCCTAAGTGATGAACTGCGATCCTGACGTATACGCCAAATAAAACCTTCGCTCCTCAAGTTGCTTTGTTCATGGTGTTTTATCACAGCAATAGAGAGCAAACTGGAGCAGACAGAGAGAACAGGGCACCCCCGAGGGAGTGAGAGTGGGCTGCTCAGAGAAAAACTGCCCTGCAATGTGTCAAGGTGTATGCCACTTAGTGGCTCTCAAGTTCCAACCTAGAGTACCTAAGACACGATTCCCCCTCCCTCTTCTTGACAAGTGAGGTCATCGTATGGTTCTGGAGTTGCCTTCCATGGGACCACAGTAAGATAAGATAAAACCAGGGACCACTGGGGTTGCACAAGAGAGCTGGGGAATGTCTTGTTATTGCAGCACAGGTTGTCAGCGACAGTCCTAGAAAGCCAGCAGGGGCCCTGCTGGGAAGGGAGAGAGAACTTCAGGCAATGTTAGCTGTGTTGGAATTCTCCTTTCTCCACTGGCAAGAGGCTTCAGTCAGACTCGCCCACGGTGGCCGTCCCCTCCCCTCCTATGGCCCCACGGTCCTCTGCCTTTGTGTTTTGCCTCATTTATTGTGAACTCTGTGAAGTTCATTTTTTTAAGCTACATAATAAATTCACAGGGTATTATCAATGCTCTTAGTGATTAACATGCTGTTATTATCCCCTTCAGTATTTCTGGAATACTTTATGGAAAAATGAAAGGGGAGGTAGTGGGAGAAGTTGGGCTTGGTTTATGGAGGACGAGTTGAGAGATGATGAGAAAATCTTAGGAGAGGTCTGTGCAGTCGTTAGGTGTAGCAAGAGGGGCCGCTTGTTCTTCCTGACCACCCGGCTAGCTTAGGCCTCAAATAACCACACACAGAAACTGTATTAATTAAATCACTGCTTGGCCCATTAGCTATAACTTCTTATTGGCTAATTCTTACATCTTGGTTTAACCCATTTCTATTAATCTGTGTATTGCCACGTGGCTATGGCTTACCAAGTAAAATTCCCAGGCTCTATCTCTGGTGGTTCCATGGCTTCTCTCTGACTCCACCCTTCTTTCTCCCAGCATACAGCCTAGCTTTCCCTGCCTAGTTCTGTTCTTCCCTCCCATGGACTCAAAGTGGATCTTTATTCATTAATGGTAATCTCAGCACATAGACGGGACTCCCACATCAACTAGGGTTGAGAATATCTCCTAGAGGCCTTTGAGCTAATGGTGGCATTTGGGGGAGATGGTGAACTTTTAGAGGTGGGGCCTCAGGGAAGAAAACTGGATCATTGGAGAAGGGTTTTTCTCCTACCCATCTCTCTTATTTTCTGTCACAGGGGGAACATCTCAGTTCACAGAATTCTCCCTGCCATGAGTGTTCTTCGTTGCCAGGAACGTACAAAGCTACTGGGCCTGCAAACCATGGGCTGAAGTCTGAAACTTGTAGCCCAAGATAAACCTTCCCTCTTTTTAAGCCTATTGATACCTCAAGTATTTTGTCACAGTGATCAAGAGCTGGCTGACGCAGGGCCTGTGACTCTTGTCCTCTGGATTGGTGAGTGTGACTCTGGGCACTGGGTGGATGTTACAGTCCTAAGTTTGACTCGGGCAGATCTGAAACTCAGCTTGAACATGTCTGCTGCCGTCTTAAACCACAAGTGCTTCTCCATCACCTGTCTCTGATATTAGTGGCTTTCAACTGCCTGGAGGAGGACAGCTCGGTCTATGATAGGCCCTGTGCTCCCTTCGCCCTCCCCGTTTGAAATGCTGCTTCCCGGCATTAACTTGTTTGCTGTTTGACCAAACTGCAGGGGACCACAGCCTAGCCAAGAGGACGCACAAAATGAGCTAGCACAAACGATATGATTAGTAGCTGTTTCAGATCACGCATTTAAAATACGGGCAGCAAACAATTTAAAAATGTACGAAAGCTTGAAAAACAAAAATTAATTGGTGAATACGGGATTATTTTTCAGACAACTGTTACATTGTCACACTTAGATAAATTAACAGTTGTCCTTGATATAATCATGAATCAAGTGAAATGAACACTTAATGTTTCAATTCTCTCATATGTTACAGTTTTACAATGTATTCATTTCAGTTAGACTCCAACTGTGGTCCATATCTTGTGATTAGTGAAATAAATGCTTTATACAATTTAAAGGGCAGATTTCTCCTAATATTCCCCTCTCTCTCTTCCCAACAGTTAATTTTAGAATCTCTCATTGGTCCTTTGGGCATTCTGATACTGGGTCATGCTGGCCCACTACCTCAGTGTGATCCATCATGTCCCACTGTCCTGTTTCCTAGAAATTCATTGTTCGATGAGGCCGAGGGTGATGGTTTATACACCAGACAGCATCCAGGATCACCTAGGAAGGACAGGAGCTGCTGGTGGTGCCCACGAGGGATTATCTAGATCAGGTTAGCCTCCGAACAGGTCTGTGGAGGATTTTCTTGATTAGATTCACTGTAGTAGGAAGAAGGGCTGGGCCCTGGACTGACCAAAAGGACTTCACTGCACATGCAATGTGACCAGCTACCTTTGTACTCTCTACCGTGATGGGACGTGCCCTGGAACTAAGCCAAAATGAACCTTTCTTCTTTCCATTGCTTATGTCTGTTACACACACAGAGACATACATGCACACATGCACACATGCACACACACACACACTTGTTACAGCAAACAGACAATCAACTAACACACTTAGCCAACTATTTTTTTAAAAAAAAATCGTTTATTTGCATGCTTTTTAAGTCCCACTGAAGGATTCCTTGTTTGCAAACAAACAAAACAAACAAAATCCACATGCCTCCCTTATTAGCTGACTGAAACCTAAAATCGCGCTGCTGGAATCATTTTGTTTGAATTCTCAATTAAAATGCAAATACTCCTAGGAGAAGGGAAAACTTATCAGGCACCCATTCCTCAGTATGAAAGCTTTGTAGGGGCGAAAAGCGTGTCTTTCCCTCACACAGCCCAAAGGCACAGCAAGCACCCCACAGCATCAGACTGACAGGGTTAGTCGAGTTTTAGGAGACAGTGAGTCTTTGAGGTGAAGATCAGAGAGCTAAGGAAGCAGCCAGAGTCACCTCCTACCTCTCCAACTCCTCAGACCTAAAAGGGCCAAACTCCTGTCTACGCCCTACCTCATCACTTCCTCTCTCTGCCCAGCCATATCACTTCCTGTCTCTTGTCTGTATAGACCTCCAGACCTCTATGGTTAACTAGTGGCTAGCTCTATCCTCTGGTCATCAGGCAGGCTTTATTTGTCAGAACACAGACAAACTATCACAACACCCAAGGAAGGTCTGAGGAAGAAACGACAATTCCTTTCTCTTAAACGTTGCTTCTCCCTCCACTCTGAAGACCTAGTTTCACGGGATACCTGGGGAGGTTCTTTTACTGACACCTGTCACATGGATGGTCGGAAAGTGACCTTCAAGGTGCCACATTTTGGGCTGCATGACCTTCACCTTGCCACCTCTGCGGAATCCCCTCTGTTCTAGTTAAGATTTCTATTGCTATGATGAAACACCGTGATTGTCTTAGTTAGGGATTTTTGTTGCTGTGAAGAGACACCATGACCACGGCAACTCTCATAAAGAAAAACATTTAACAGAGGTGGCTCTCTTGCTGTTTCATGACGGAGGAAGGTCATTGGCTAATAAAGGAACTGCCTTGGCCCATTTTATTGGTTAGAAGATAGGTGGGAGGAGTAAACAGAACAGAACGCTGGGAGGAACAGGAAGTGAGCTCAGTCTCGACAGCTCTCCTCTCGGGAGCAGACGCCTGAGAGAGACGCCATGCCCCGCTCCCGGGATGAAGCTCCGACCCAGGATGGACATAGGCTAGAATCTTCCCGGTAAGCGCACCTTGGGGTGCTACACACAGATGATTAGAAATGGGCTAAATTAATATGTGAGAATTAGCCTAGAAGAGAATGGGCCAAGCAGTGTTTAAAAGAATACAGTGTCCGTGTAATTATTTTGGGTAAAGCTAGCCATGGGGGCGGCTGGGTGCCGGGGACGCAGCCCCGCCGCTCATATTACTACAGTTTCAGAGGTTCAGTCCGTTATCATCGGGATGGGGAGAAGGGTGGCGTGCAGGCAGATGTGGTTCTGGAGCTGAGGGTTCTACGTCTTGATTCACAGGCAGCAGAAGGAGACTGTGTGCTACACTGGGTGTAGCTTGAGAAAAGAGACCTCAGAGCCCTCCCCCACAGTGACACACTTCCTCCAATAAGACAGCACCTACTCCAACAAGGCCACACCTCCTAGTAGTGCCACCCCCTTTAGGGGACATTTTCTCTCAAACTACCACAATGACAAAATCAAATTGGAGAGGAAAGGGTTTGTTTGGTTGCACCCCCACAACTTCTTCTATGTAGTCCATCATAGAAGGAAGTCAGGACAGGAACCTGGAGGCAGGAGCTGATGCGAGATTGTGGAGTGGTGTTGCATAGTGGCTTACTTAGTCTGCTTTCTTAGAGAACCCAGGACCACCAGTCTAGGGTGACCCCGCCCCCAATGGACTGGCCCCTCCCACAGCAATCACTGATTAAGAAAATGAACTACAGGCTTGCCTACAGCCCCATCTTACAGAGGCATTTCCTCAACTAAGGCTCCCTCCTCTCAGGTGAAAATAACTGTGACAAGCGGATGTAAAACTATCCAACACATATTCCCAAGCCAGAGTTGGAGAAGTGGGGAAAGGCAAAAAAACGACGGAGGGAGAGAGCCAAGGTGGCACCAACAGGGAGGTGGCCACGGCACGGTGTGGGAAGAGCAGAGTAACCTGCTGCAAAGTCCCTTAGTGCTGGGCCATTTAATGCATGCTGACTTCAGGCTATTATTCCATTTAGACATCTCTGATGAGTGTGAGAGCATTCATTCGGGGTGGTACGGCAGTGGACCCAATCATATAATGACCCTGGAAGGAGACATCTTTACGGCCTTTTAAAGGGTAAAGCACAGAGGCTGCATCAGGCCGAAGTTATTTGTTACTGGTCACTCAGTGAATAAGCAGTCTGACTTCTAGATCTTTCCACCAATAGCTGCCATTTCCCACACTCCTCCGCGATGTTTGCTTGACGGGGTGATGAGGAATGACACCCGATGTGGGCAGTTTCCAGTTTTCACTGTAGCCCGATCCTGGACCTGTTCTAAGTCTTGTGCCCAGAATCTGGCATCTCGGGTGCAGTCAGGATCACTCGATGCCCTTGGGGTAGCAAGGCCTTTTTTGCTCACCAACCTCTGCACCCTTTGCCCTTTTCTGGGAAAGATGGGTACTTTATCTTTGGAAACTCAGCCTGTTGATCAGACAAAAAATAATTAGATAACCTCTATTGAACTCCCATGAGTCAGCAGTGTCTATAAAAAAGACCTGATGTTTTTCTTCCACAGTGTGTTTATGGTGGGACTAACAGGGGTGAAAGAGCGGGAAGAATCAGCTTCACCAAAAATCCCACGGTCCTGCTCTGTGGCCGTTGGCGCATCCTCTCCTGTGTTGTTTGGCCGACGTCTTTCATAGTTTTCCACAACAGAGGTCCTTGTTTCTTTTTCTTGTCATTCTTTGTCCCTCTGGCCGGGTGCATCTACGTCTTCTCTCATCTACGTCTTCTCTCAGGGTTACTCTTCTCTTCAGGCTACCTGTGAGCTTGCAAAGCAAAGACCCAAAGCAGGGAGTAACCCCGATCTCTCTCAGCCCCTTGAATTCCAGGCCATTTTGAAGTCACTCCACTTGGGCATTTACCCAGCAAGACTCCACAACCCAGAGCCCATGAGAGGGGCAGCAGAGTCTTTTTTTTTTTTTTTTTTTTTGGTTTTTCGAGGCAGGGTTTCTCTGTGGCTTTGGAGCCTGTCCTGGAATAGCTCTATAGACCAGAGCTGGTCTCGAACTCACAGAGATCCACCTGCCTCTGCCTCCCGAGTGCTGGGATTAAAGGCGTGCGCCACCATCGCCCGGCTGGGCAGCAGAGTCTTAATACTGACAAAGGCGTCATTTTCTTCTTCTGGCTTCTTAGAGAATGCAGCCATGACCGTTTATGGGGAAACTCTTAAAATGAGGTGTCGCAGGGTGGAAACCAGCAGAAGTTAACTGAGAAAGAAGGAGAAATAAACCAGCTGCAATTCGTGTGAGCAATTCTGATCTTAGGAGAGACCACACACGTACACTACTACCCCATGCCCCACCCTCCCTGGCTGCGAACACTGGATGACTAAAGCCGAATTTACTTCATCGTCAATTTCAACATAGAAGACAATTTCTAAGACCAAAGCGGGTATGTGGGGGTGGGGAGGGGGAACCCATGAAACCAGTTGTTCCACAGTCAATCATGAGTGTTTACTCACTGGCCATCTGGCACGTCAGACTTGGGCCACTGCTGACCTTGAGTGATTTCAGGTAGATTTAGTGGGTGAAGCCAGTCACCAGTTCCTGCTTTAGCAGGCTAAGAGAAGGATGAAATGCAATTACCTCTGTTACTTACAATAAAACCTTTGAGGCATCCCTTAAGAAAACCTCAACAAGGGGAAGAAAGTTAGGGCTTAGAAAGAAGTCATTTGTCTTTAGCCGAATTCGGTGGAGTCTGATACAGATTGCTGCAGACATAAACCTGTCTGGAGTCTGGCTTCAGGGTTTGGAAAGATAAAATATTCATGAAGTATAATTTTGCATAATTTGTTTAGCTACCAAGTTATAATTTAGTTATTTGGTGCATGAATCCTTCAGAAGGTCTAGAGAAGAGAAAAACGGACTTCACGAAGCTAGCTTCAACTTAGGTGTGGATCCAGGCAAAAAGAAGGCACCCAAGCACACTGGTAATTCACGGCAGAGAGTCACATGGTGAAGAGCATGTGTGCACACATCTGTTTGCACACAATTCATTTGCAGTCGTAACTTAATAAATATTATAATTAATTTGGTATAACAACATTATTTCCATTTCCTGTGGACCCTTTGTGCTGGGCATTTTATGTAGGCTAGTTACCTAGTTTTGCTTGGCATGTTAGTGCATTGAGGCCCAAAGGAAGGAAGGAGCTCGAGACGATCTTTGATTTCAGCAAGATGTATTTAGATGATAAAACTCCTTGATAGAAGGGTTGTAAGATAACAAATCTGATCATTTATTCATTCTGAGTACAGACATAGCTCATCTGTGTCCGGGACTATGCCAAGGACTAACAAATGCATTGTCAAAAGGGTTCTTGTTCCCAAAGGAGATCCAGTCTAGTTGAGAGAAGAATCAGCTATGAGACAAGGCATTTTGTCACTTGGGTAGGACAAGCTGGAATGGCCAAGTCCCCTAACCAAGACACAGACTAATTATAAGAAGGAGAAAGTGGGGTTCCCACCTGGTGGCTACTGCCCTGCAACACTCCTGATGTCTGTCTCTCCGGATCACAGTGACATAGGATGACCCACAGCTCTTGTAGA